GTCTTTGGTGAATCGTCTCACTGCCCCTGCACCTCTGGCCTGTACCCTAGTTCTGTGTGCATAAATAAATAAATCTTTAAAAACAAAACAAAAAAATCTGTTCAACTCAACTCACCATCTCCCCCATCTTTGGTTGTCTCCATCTTGATTAGTGTCTCTGTAACCAAACTCAGTGGGTCCTGTGGGCCTCACAGAAGACTCGACCAGGACAGAGAGCACAAAGGACAAGTATTTTTTTCTTTACGAGGCAGTGAAGCTAATGTTTCCAAAGAAACTGTGTCCAGGAGAGGACCATAAGGTGGAGATGTATTATTTGTTGTTGTGGGAAGGGGTCTTTGGGAATGTCTTTGATCTGGGCCCTAGCTTATCTTCAGCCCTGGACATCTGCTAAAAATACATTTTCAGGGAAATTTGAAAGTTTGTCATATACATGATTCTTATCTAAGATTTTTTAAATTTATGCATACAGATCTGGGGTACAGGCCAGAGGTGCAGGGCCAATGAGAGGATTCACCAAGCACAGAGTGGGCTGCAGAACAGGCAGACTGAGGAGGTACACTGCTGAGAGGAGCAGCAGATGAGAGAGGAGAGGTCTGTTGCGCCATGTGGGTCAGCTCCCCGGGGCGGGGACTGAACTCTGCACTGAAGCAGCTGTGGCTGGCTCCCGCAGCGCTGCACTTCAACCCCTTGCGCCATCAGGGAGAGCCCCATTTCTTAACTCTCACTAACTGTGGGTTCACAGCACTACCTGACACAAGCTATGCAACATCCATTGTCTGACAGATTCCGGGTGGATCGGGATAAGCTCTGAAAAATCAGACTGTCCACTGCTAACTTATGTTATGACCTCCGTTTTTTTTGAATAAACATAACATCAAAATATTCTGAGCAACATTCAGTTTACAACTGGATTGATTTAGCTGCAAAAGGCAGCTGCTGGTTCAGGCAAGCTGCCCCAGGGTGAGAAATTCCTCTGCCTCCTGAGACAAAAGCCAAGCCCCAGGAGAAATAAGACCCCAGGACATAAAAAACTCCTGGGAAGCTTCCTTGGTTTCTTTGAATAAAAAATAAACATCAGATAAGGCTCCCAGGGCATAAGGACTCATGGACAAATTTTAAACTTGACTACACAGGTGTTGTTTGATATATAACTGTACAACTTTCTCTTAATTTACTCCCTTTTAAAGCAAGCACAAACTACTCTCTGTTAGCCTCAAATTCCCCATTAGCTTTTCACTGATAACACTGCTAACACAACTTACTACTATCCCAAGACCCTTAACAACCTTTTGCTAACAAGCTCACCCTTTTCCAGACTCCTCCTCCTTTGATGATAACTAGACAGCTGTATATATGATAACTGTCACAAAAACATATAATTTAGCATACCATAAATTGTAAACAGAAGAATGCTTTTTTCCCTTTGTCCTTGAGAATGTTTTATGGAGATACCTCATTAACTTACCCTATGCATTACTACAATTAACTACTTGCTACACAGTATAAAGACCTGCTGAAGGGATAGCAGGAAGACTTGCACTCTATCCTGACTCCCCTGTCTTCCTTGGGTCTGTTCCCCTCTCCCCCTTTTGGAATATCAGCTGGCCAACGCCTTCGCATCTTAGGGTCCTGCCTGTGCTGCCTCGAGCTGGTCTCCGACAACTACCTTCCAGCAAAATCATTTAGGCTGGAAAGATTGCCCTCACCTCATCATTTAGTCATCCAATCTTGTAAATACAAGAGTGTTTCTTGAATGTCTTTCTGCCTTTCATTCTCAGTTCTACTGCCCAGCCTCATGACACTACCTGGTTGCTGGAACCAGACTCCTTGCTCTAGTCCTACTTCCCTGGAAGGCTGCCTCTACATTACTGCCAGGGTGGTTTTTCTAAAATGAGTGCTCCATTCAGACTTGGGTTCCCCATTACCAGTCTGCTCTGCAGGATACAACTTGAATTCCTTAACTTGACCACCAAAGCCTCTGTGATCTGACAGAGACTTCTTTGTGCTTGTGTGCCTGCTTGCCTTGTTGTTTAAAGATTTATTTATTTATGCATAAAAGAACTGAGTTGTAAGCCAGAGGTTGGGGGGGTAGGGAGAGGGAGCGAAAGGTGGGTGGCGAAAGAATTCACCAGAGAGAGTGGAGAGAGAACAGGCAGATCCATTGAAATACACTGCTGAGGGGAGCAGTGGGCAAGACAAGAGAGGTCTGCTGCACTTTGTAGGTCAGCTCCCTGCAGGCCAGGGATCTCACTGTGAGCAGATAGTGCTAACTTGATAGGCTGTTTTTGTTTGTTTGTTTGTTTTTTAGATTTTTAAAATGTATTTATGCATACAGAACTGGGGTACAGGGACAATGAGAGGATTCACCAGAGGCAGAGTGGGGAGCAAAACAGGCAGATAGAGGAAGCACACTGCTGATGGGAGCAGCAGTCAAGACAGGAGAGGACTGCTGCCAGTGTGGCCACCTCAGGAGCAGAGCCGGATGGAAGGAACTCTCACCAAAGCTTCTGCTGCTACCATGCAGTGTTGGGCTTTCAACCCCTGTGCCACCAGGGAGGCCCTGCTTCCTTTCCTGTTGTAGTCTTGCAACCTTGCAACCTTCCTAATTCCTTAAGCCCACTACTACTTGGTAACTCCCTTGCCAACCTCAAATTCAAGAAGTAATTAAAAAGGTAAAGTGTTTTTATTTGTGGATCAAAGAATTGCCATACAGGGACATAGATTTGAACAGAATCACACAGTGTTTCAAGAAGGGGCAAAAAAAAACGGGCATTTTTACAGGAAGAAAAGAAGAAGATGAGGCACGTGTCCTTTTTTTTTTTTTTTTTTTAAATTCATTGGTGCTACTGAAACTATTCTTGCCAATACATAATTAGTTACTGGTTTTACTCTTTAGCAAAAAAGTTCATAATCATCAGCCCTCAGATCCTGATGACTGTTCAAGAAATTGTGTTTCTGACAGCTTTAAAAAATAATGCTTTTAACTTGGATGGAGCTGGAAAAGATCATGCTTAGTGAGATAAGCCAGAAAGAGAAAGAAAAATACCGGATGGTTTCACTCATAGCAGGAGTATAATGGACCAGGCGAGAAAATAACAAAAATAATGAACAACCATATATATACCAGAGACATTTTGTGGGGGTGGGAGTGGGGAATGTAAAAACGGGGGAGAGGGGAGGGAAGGGAGGGAAATGCACGGGATTATGGTGGTGGCACACGCGTGATTTGGTGATGGGAAACCCGTGGGGATTACAATCGAGATGGAAAAAAAAATGTGCAAAATGATGTAAAAATAAACTTTTGTAATAATAATAATAATAAAATAATGCTTTTGGCCCAGTCCAAAGACCTTTGCCCCAATCCAGAGGTCTTTGGCCCAGTTCAAGCAAAACCAGTAATGTAGTTCTCTGTAGTGACTGCCCAGGCTTTGTTAAGTTGGCTCCATTTATGTCTTGTCATATACTCTCTGTCTGGAATGCCTTCTTCTTTAAGATTTATTTATTTATGCGCACAAGAACAAGGGTACAGGCCAGAGGTGTGGGAAGTGAGAGGATTCACCAGAGACAGAGTGGAGAACAAAACAGGCAGATGTACTGAAACACATTGCTAAGGAGAGCAGCAGGTGAGACAGGAGAGGTCAGCTGTGCCACGTGGGTCACCTCCCTGATGGTCAGGGATCACTCAGTAGCTGCGGATCACTTCATGGTACTGTGCTTTAACCCGATGCACCACCATGGAGGGCCCTGGAATGCCTTTTACACACAGCGGGCATTAGAGTCACCTCTCAGGACAACTCCTAGTCTTTGAGATTCGGCCAGGCCCAGTGTTAATCCTGTGATAGCTAGTTGTATAAATGTTGTTGTAACTTTGAGGATTCACTAATTAGCCTGCTTAGCAGAAATGATTACATTTGAGACAGAAACTGTTCTGTCTAAGAAGCTTTACATATTCAGTATTGACAATCTCATGGAATCTGCATTACACTCTATGCAGCAGATATTAGTAGCATCTGTTTTACAGGGACCAGGAGGTTAAGTAACTTCCAAAGGTCACTTGCATCCTGGCTTTTCAGTAGTCACACACCCAGTCAATCTGGCTCTCCAGCTGGCATCCTTTGCTTTTCTATTGTCTTGCTTGTCCATAGTATAGTTCATACTTACAAATGTTAAGTAAATCATAATAGTTGTTTAGTGAGTGGGTGCATACCATGCACCAGGCTCTGTTCTAAGTGCTTTACGTCTAACCCTGTGGCTATTTCTATTTTGCCTAAATGAAAACAGGCTTACAGAAGTTTGACAACGTCCCTGACGTCTCTCACATAGCTCAATGGGGCACAGTTTCCCTTAAACCAAGGTCTTAATCACTGCCTTCTACTAAATGGAGCCAAATACGCAGGAATGGTGGCCACAGAAGACTAGAACAGCAGAGGCCTGTGACACCCAAGGCTCACAGCTGGCAACACAAGAGTCCATAGCTTCTGCTGCAGAACAGGCTGACTCACAACTGGGACAGAAAGAGCCCAGCCCAGAAACAGTGACCCAGAAACCCAGGGGAATGGAAACAGACGTCAGCTCATCTCCGGGGCTCAGGACTTGGTTGTCCAGGTGCCTCAAAGGTATCCCAAAGCGCTGAATCTATCAAAGGGTTCGTTCCGAGTTACCTGGGTGCGGGACCTGGAACCTTCGCAGCCACAGGGGTTACCGTCCCGAGGGTCTCTTCGCGGGGGCGGGGTCTCGGGGTGTCCGCTTCTGGGGGGTCCGGGGGGCCACCGCTGGACAGGTGACTCCGCAGGGGCGGTGCTCGGGGCTGTCCTCAGCTGTCGTGCGCTCCTCAGCTGCGGACCCAGGAGAGGTTAGCCGCTCCGAGGGGCCCCTGGGGGCGTGGCTGGGCTGGGGCGCGACCTGGCGGCGACGAGGGGGTTAACCGCTGGAGGGCGCTGTGGGGGCGGGGCCGGGGGCGGGGCGAGGCCGGGGGCGGTGCTGGAGGCGGAAGCGACGGGACCTGCGCGCCAGGGCGCTGGGCTGGGCACCTGCAAAGGCCCGGCGACCTCCCGGCCCGGGAAGCCCAGCGAGGTTCGGGGCGGTGACGGGGGCACGGGGCGGGCCAGAAGGAACGGCCTTGGGACTGGCCCAAAGGGGGACCTCGGGAGACCCGTGACTGATGGGGTGAGGGCAAGGTGACGGGCCTAGGAGCAGCGGGGTAGTGAAGAGGAAGGAGCGGGGCTTGGGCCGAGGTGGGGACTGGCGCCCCAGCCAGGAGCCGGCACTTCACCCCATCTCTCCTGCCTCCTCTGCAGGTCCGTCCTGAACGTCCTGAACGGGAGCTCAACTTTCAGGAGACACACCAGCGAGATTCTCGGGAGTGCTCCAGCTCCTCGGCTTCAGGCTTCATGGGCCAGACGGCCCTGGCAGGGGGCAGCAGCACCCACACCCCACAGGCCCTGTACCCCGACCTCTCTTGTCCCGAAGGCTTGGAGGAGCTGTTGTCTGCTCCCCCTCCTGACCTGGGGGTGCAACGGCGGCACGGCTGGAACCCCAAGGACTGCTCAGAGAACATCGAGGTCAAGGAAGGGGGGTTGTGCTTTGAGCGGCGGCCCGTGGCCCAGAGCACTGATGGGGCCCGGGGTAAGAGGGGCTACTCGAGGGGCCTGCACGCCTGGGAGATCAGCTGGCCGCCGGAGCAAAGGGGCACCCACGCCGTGGTAGGCGTAGCCACGGCCCAGGCCCCACTGCAGGCTGACCACTATGCGGCGCTGCTGGGCAGCAACAGCGAGTCTTGGGGCTGGGACATTGGGCGGGGGAAACTGTACCATCAGAGCAAGGGGCCAGGGGCCCCTCAATATCCAATCAGACCTCAGGGTGAGCATTTTGAGGTGCCAGAGAGGTTGATGGTGGTTCTGGACATGGAAGAGGGGACGCTGGGCTACGCTATTGGGGGCACCTACCTGGGGCCAGCCTTCCGCGGACTGAAGGGTAGGACCCTCTATCCGGCAGTAAGCGCTGTCTGGGGCCAGTGCCAGGTCCGCATCAGCTACCTGGGCGAAAGGAGAGGTGAGGCCTGGGGAGGTGTGGGGAGAATGTGTTGTCACTGGCGGCTGTGGTTGGGGATGGAAGCTGAAGGCCTTACGAGAACAGAGGGAACGAACCCTCTTCTCACCTTCCTCTTACCCCTGCTCAGCCATAGGCGTGGTAAAGGCTCCTCAAAGGTGTTCCCTAACCTAATCCTCCCAACAGCAGTAGAGGTAAAGAGAAGGTTGGAAGAGCAACTTGCCAGCAATGGCAAGAGCCCTCAGAATGGAGGGATCTGGGTTCGGCAGGTCTGTCAGCCCCTGGAGCAAGAGGGAAAGAGGTTAAATGGGTCTTGGGCCAGGTGTACAAGCCCAAAGCCAAGAGATCCAGAAGTGCCAGGCTCCTGGGATTTGTGCCTGTTTCCCCAGGCTCTGACCTGTCTGTGCCACATACCTCTTCCTCAGTGAACCCCCAGGAAGGAGCCCTTTAAGCCCTGGGCACCAGAAAGGACAGCAGTGAGGAGGCAGGGCCTTGGGGGGGGCCCCTTGGGGAGCTGACGGGGCCAGGCTTCGGCTGATTGAACCTCACTGTTCTCTGCAGTTGCAGGCTCCAGCAGAGGCTCCTCTGGAGAGCAGTTAGAGCAGAGGAGGGCCGGCCTTCCTTGCACCTCACTGCCTCTGCTCCAAGGCCCACCGCTTCCACTGTCAGGGCCACCCTGGCCTATTGCTCAGGGCCATAGCTGGAACCTCACCCTCCACCTCAGGGATGCAATGGAATGGGATGTGTGACATCTGTGATCCCTTCCCCCAAGAGCAGATGTACCACTTGAAGTTACCTTCGATGTCCCTCAGTCAAGGTGGGAGCAGATTGGAAGCAGGAAAGCAGCAGGGCACCTGGGTAGGACTTGGTAATTTGAGGGTGTCTTGGATGGTGGCTACATCCCTACTTACTTTCCCTCCTTCTCTCTCCCAGCCGAGCCACACTCCCTTCTGCATCTGAGCCGCTTGTGTGTGCGCTGCGCCCTGGGGGACACCCGGCTTGGCCAGGTCTCCGCTCTGCCCCTGCCCCCCGCCATGAAGCGCTACCTGCTCTACCAGTGACCCTTGTGAACCACAGTTGTGCAGGGGACCTGACATCATCCCTCCCCTGGGGGGAGGAGGCACTGCTGGTGGAGACCAGCTACTTGAAACCAGGAAGGTGGGGGGGAGGCGAGGCTGGGCCCCTACTCCAACCCCAAGCTCTGGGGAGCTCAGCAAGCCCAGAGTCACCCAGAGGGATGGAAGAGGGGGAAAAGCTGTTTGGCAAGACTCTGGCAGTCTGGTACGAGTGACGTTTTTTCAGTAAAAATAGTAAGAATGTGTGGTTCTAGAAACCTGTTTGTGGTACTTTTTTTTTTTTTTTTTGGCACAGGGGTCCTGTGGCTGCTTTAAAAAAGGAAAAGGGGAGCTTTAAGCACAAGTACAGTAAGGACAGACCGCAAGGCTCAGTGCCAGGTGTTTATTTCCCCCACCCGAGGGGCTGCTGACAGACACAACACAGCTGCTGGTACGGCGGCGTGAGGGCAGCACTCTGGCCTCGTGGGGATGACAGGGTTAACTCTCAGCCTGTGGCCTCATGGTGTGAGGTGGGAGAGGATAGCTTCTCTCTTCCTGCCCTCACTGGGGACTGAGGGGACCTGCGAGTAAACACCACCCACCCCTTCCACCTGTCAGCCAAGAAGCCACGTTAGTGGCTTCTAGCTCCAACCAGTACAGCAATGTGAAAGGGACTGGCCTGTCCCAACCAGTCCAGGGTAAGGTGTCAAGGGCGAAGGAAGGCGCAGTTTGGATTAGGCCACAGAGGGGGCAGGTGACACCACCAGAAGCTTGTACAGGGGTGGATGGGGCAATTTGGCTTCTGTGCTACCTAGTCCCTGGCTTAGCTGGAATGGCAGGGGAGACTGACAGGGCTTATTGTTTGGCGTTGATGATGTCCACGAATTCGGGCTTGAGGGAAGCACCACCCACGAGGAAGCCATCCACATCAGGCTGGCTTGCCAGCTCCTTGCAGGTTGCCCCAGTCACAGAACCTGGGGAAGGAGGCGAGAGAGGGGTTGTCAGGCGAGAGGGGCGGGATGGTGTACGCTCAGTTTAGTTCTCAGTCAGCCTCCCTCAGACTGGAGACAGACAAACTCACCTCCATAAATGATGCGGGTGCTTTGGGCCACTGCATCTGAAATGTTGGATTTCAGCCATCCCCGGAGCTTTTCATGTACTTCCTGGGCCTAAAATAAGAAGCCAGGTAAGACTACCTTTCACTGAAAGTAGAAAAATGGCACCAGTAGAGAAAAGGAAGGGCCCTGGGATCTGAGCCAGAATATCAGGCCCTGGGAGGACGTCTTTGGACCCGTCACTCTCCTTTTCTGGGCTTGGGGACCCCTGTCTTTAAAACAAGGGCTGACCCAGGTGGTGTTTGCGGCTGCCCAGTTCTACCAAAGCAGAGGAGGCTGAGATCAGGGCCTCAGGGCTTGAGTACCTGTTGAGGCGTTGCAGTCTTGCCGGTCCCAATGGCCCACACAGGCTCATAGGCCAGGACAACCTTGTTCCAGTCCTTCACATTATCTGCCAGACAGATCACAGAGACGGGAAGATCAGGAAAACCTATCCAGACTTCCCCAGGGGAATGAGGAACAATGGTGGTCTACTGCCCTCTGGTGGCTGCTGAAGGACTCTCAAGTGGCATCTATACCAGCAGGGGCAGGAGCAGAAGTGAAAAGGATGCAAAGGTTCTCACCCTCCCCTTTCCTTTCCAGTAAAATCCTGGGATCAAATCAAGCTGCAGGGCATCTAATCCCACCCGCTGGGCCGCCCTGGTCGAGGCTAGGTTCAAAGGTCTGTTTTTCAAATATACCTGCGATGACCTTGGTTTGCTCGAAAACGACCTTCTCGGTGATGCCAGCTTCCCTCTCATCTAGCTTCTCCCCAATGCAGGCGATTACTCCCAGCCCCTCTGCCAGGGCATGGGCCACTTTCTGCCCAATCAGCTGTTAAGGAACAGATTCGGTGAGACACCCCTCTTGGAATAAGGCACCTTGTTCCCCTCCCTGGTTACTAACCTCATCTGACTCCCCAAAGACATGCCTTCTCTCCGAGTGTCCCAGGACTACCCACGTGGCTCCACAGTCTTTGATCATCCCAGGGCTAATGGGAGAGATAAAGCCAAGGTTCAGCCTGGGTCCAACCTGTGGCTTTCCCCTCAACAAGGAAAGTGAGGGCAGGGTCTCCCCTGCCACACTTCTCTGGCCTGCATTTTACCTGATCTCCCCAGTAAAGGCCCCGTTAGTCACTTTGTAGCAATTCTGCGCAGCCACAGCAATCTTGGGATCCAGCTTCTGCCTGGCGAAGTCAATGTAGGCAGTGGGCGGAGCACAAACCACCTCTGAGGATGAGATGGTGGCACAGGGAATGAGATAACATTCTTCAGACTCCATCCTGTGCTCTGGAGCCCCCTAGCTTCCAACAGTTCTCAGAGTTCTGCATTCCTCCCCATTTCCCCCCAACAAGATGATGTTTGTCCACTTCCCAAGCCTGGCTGGGCTTGCACCCAAGTCCAGGAGCCATGGTCCTCACCCTGCCCTCTGCACTTTTAACAGCTGTGGCTCCGATTTCCAGGGCTATTCTGGGCCTGGGCACCTCCTAGACTCAGCATTCTCTAGGGGCCAACCCAGCCTCCCTTCTAAAATAGCCCATCCCCAAGGCAAGGTTTTTTAGCAAGAATGGCCAGCTCCCAGGGGTTGCGTGTCTTTGGGGGAATAAACCAGAAAAGGATGCCTCTTTGGATCTGGCACGTAGTTCTGTGATGAGGAGAGTGGGAGGGGAACGACTCTTTGACGGCAAGATTCCGCCTGTGGGTGGCAGGGAGTTGACTAGCTCATTGAGGCCTTGCGCCTTCCCGTTTCCAGGTTGGAGGTTCGCTCCTCGATCCCAAAAAGGCCCGACTGTAGGGCGTCCCCTCAGGCCCTTGGGCGGAAGGCAGGGGTCACCCAGACTGCTGAGCGGATCAGCGCGGGTAGCTGGGAAGACCAAAGCTGCCCGGCGGGTGGACTCTGACTGCCCGGCCAGGCGCGGGGAGGAGTCTCCGGCTACGTGCAGTGGCGCACGGAGACCGCGGCCGCGGGGGCAGGTAGCTGGGAGCCCGCGCGCGCAGGCTCGGCCTCCTCCCCCGCGCTCCCGGCTGTCGCCAGCCTCTCGCGATCGCCCACCCGGGCGAGGCTCCGCTCCTACTCGTGCCTCCTGAGGGCTGCTGCAAACCCAGGTTGCACCCTGGGGCCGCCGTCTTCCCGTTCACCCGCGCCCTTTCCCGCCTCACGGTCCGAGGGCACCATTGCAGGTAGCCCCGCCTTTCTCATCGACACACCCCCGGGGCTGCGGCTGTGGGGTCAATGTCCGGATCCCCAAAAGCCCGCGTACCCTAACCCTACATACAGGTCCCCATGGTCACTGACTCAGAGCTCGGGGAGAGGGCGCCGCCTGGCCCGATCTCCCCGACGCCCGCGGACCCCTCCCTGGCGAGGGCTTACCGATGTCAGCCGGCAACTTGGCCGCGTTCAGAGTGCCGATGAGCTCCCCTAGACACTTCTTCCTCCCGTTCATCTTCCAATTCCCCCCAACGAAGAACTTCCTGGAGGGCGCCATGGCGCTGCAGCCGGCTGACTGAAGGTCAGTATCACCGCGCAGCCGCGGTCAGAGTGCCGATGAGCTCCCCTAGACACTTCTTCCTCCCGTTCATCTTCCAATTCCCCCCAACGAAGAACTTCCTGGAGGGCGCCATGGTGCTGCAGCCGGCTGACTGAAGGTCAGTATCACCGCGCAGCCGCGGCCACTGGCCGCTTATAAAGAGCGCCGCCAGGCAGAACTCCGCCTCCTCCCGGCCCTCCGCCA